TCTTTTTTTTATTCATTTATTCACATGTGCATACATTGTGTGGGTAAATTCTTTTCGAAAACTAAGTCAAGAAGAAACTCATATTAAATTTATGAATTGAAAAATGTGAAATAACATTAATTAGAAATTCAATGCTAAAGTCATGCTCCCATACTTTATACAGAGAAACATCTGTATGAAAAACTCTGAAAAAATAAACATTTTAAGAGAATATAACATGAAACTCTTTATTTCATAACAATTACTGGGTTTATATTGTACTTAGTATCATGAATATACATAATACTTTGAAAAATTGAAATACCTTTGCCACACATTTACTAATGCTTTTCAAAATAATGAGACAGAAGCAGAACTGATACCACTATAATCACAGCCAGAAAACTTTATTATACAAAGTGACTATGTACATTTGATGGATGGAAATCACTGTTATTATGAGGATTTATTGAGACCCAATCTATTTCCATTTAGATAAAACTAGTCTTAAAGATCTGTTCACTGTTATTTTCTATTTGACTGCATTCTTGTTGTCACTTGTCACAATCTTTACTATTCACAGACTGAAAGGGTCTGTGAACATTTCATTGCCTAAGAGCAAAAATTTATCTATTTTTTATTTATGTATTTGAGATACTTCAGAAACTGGCAAACCAATGTCAACTTCCTGGACTTGGCTGTCCCACAGTGTCCCATTTCTAATTAAAACTATGTTCTCTTCTTCTCTTGGTCCAAATATGTGCATGTGTATGTGTGTGTGTGTGTGTGTGTGTGTGTGTGTGTGTGTGTGTGTGTGTGTGTATTTATGTAAGTACTTCTTGGCTAGGAAGAAAAACCTTATAAAAAGGAACAGAATTTATGAAAATAATAGTAATATTCACAGATCACCTATGATTGATACTTTGAAGCATTACTCTTTTTCTTCATTCCTAATGTAGACAATATATATACCACTAGAAAATAAACATTGGATTAAAGTGCAAACAAGATTGTGATATATCTGGATATTCCTTGTAGTGTTTTTTGTCTATTCATACACATAAAATATTATTCAATACAAGATCCCTACTCTACAACCCTTAAACACAACATATCTCTTGGTTAATATTGCTTGTTAATCAAAACTTAATGTCCACCACTTTTCATTCTCATTGAAAGCTATCTCTCCCTCTCTCCACTGAAAACTTCTATTATCTGATACCTGATCTTTATCCCCTCCCACCTCCTATACTGTAGTAGCTTTTTTACTTTTTTGACTCCCAATATCATATACCAACAAGTTAAAAATTACTGCAGTTTTAATAATGACTCTTTTATTCTCAAATACCTCTGTGAACACTTTATGAGTTTTAAATATCATCTAGACCCCTAAAGTTTTTATTCTTACCTTTCCAACATAGAAAGGTCTATCTTTCCAGCCTCACTTTTGATTGTCTATAGAATCTTAAATGCCAATTAAAATGGAGCTTTTGTTTCTGTTTCTTCAAATTGTTTTATCATCTTAAAATTGTGATCTCAGGTCCCCTTACCTACTGAAGCATTGATACTGCAACTCTCATCTCTAAGCACTTTTTTTCATTAAAACTCCTTAAAATCTCACTTTTTCAAATTAAAATTGAAATCTCACTTTCATAAATTGGATAACTAATCCTCTTACCTCTCTGAATCTCTGTTCCTTGAGAGTTCACCTTTATATTTTCTCTACATCTAGAAAAATATCTTAAACATAATATCTTAAATTAGTGTTTAAAAATTTGAATTAGGTTGCCTCACTTTCAAAATGCAAATGCAAAAAAGACAGAACAGACCTCACAGTTCTTAGAACAACTTGATCAATCGTGCTTGGAAACTCCATTTGAAATGTCTTTAACAAAGAATTGGTAGTTTTTTCTGTAATTTTTAAGTATCCTGGCAAAGCCACCCTAATAGTAAACAACAAAGGATAACAAACAGAAACATAATACTTCCGTGGTATTACACTGAGGATCTGAACTAATTTGATGATGGAAAGAGAAATAGCTCAATAGAAATTATTTGCACAATGGTTCACAGTCGTGAAGTGGCTGTAGGTCACTTCAACCCCATTAGGAAGACCAGTGAAATGTTTGTGAATGTGGTTTCTTGCTACTGCAAATTTTGCAAAAGTGAGAATAAGTACTGGCATAGAAAGTTGATAATTGTATGTATATATTTACTCATTTGTTATTAATTTACTCAATTTCCAGTTATTAGTTTAAATTTTACTCAAATGAGTCATCCTATGTAAAGTTCTTCTCTTGAATGATCAAAGTATATAAAGCATTTAGTCAAAAGATATTGACTTGACTTGAAATGCAATTTCATATTTACAATTATAAGGCCCTTAGTGTTAAAAGACTACTAGTTGTTTTTTTGTTATTTGTTTTTTTTGGTGCAAAAGTGCAGCCCTCAAAATTCTCCTGTTTTTAAAGAAAAATACAGTCTATTTTTCACTACCTGGGAACAAATTAATGGCAAAGCCCTGGCATTTGTTTCTATATTCACCCACATTTACAATTCTCTAGTTTAGAGTGGATCAGTTTTAAAAATTCTTTCTGAAGCTTCTCTTTAACTTAAACTTTACTCAATGAATTCTCTTATTCTTACTTATATCAAAACTCTAAACTTAGATTTATGGGGGAATTTTTCCCTTTCCCTACTAAATTCTAAGATAACCCAATCACTTTTTCTCTTAAATAACTTGACATTATTGGAATTTTAGAGTGATCCTAATTTTGTTCTTGCAATTCAAAGATACATAAAATATTACCATAAAAAAGAGGAGTTAAAATATTTCCCCAACATATCAGTATTTAAGAATTGGATATATTTGCTCATAAAATAAGTTCTGTTTGATTTCTTGAAAAAGATCTAAATGGACGTATACCTTTTTTACTTTTATCTTTAGAAATAAAAAGATTTGGATACCTCTCTTTTCTGAATGTTTAAGTAAATCACTGTCTTTGAAACAAAGTGCTTATTTGATAATACGTACAAGGATAAAGAAATGCATCTCTCATATTTTACCAAGTTTATTTTCACATGTAAATATTGTCACCATATAAAGCCAAGTTAATAAAACAGCAATGAGAGACATCAAGGTTATTTATATCAAGCATTGTTAAGTGCTTTTAAATGCAGTCATGCTCAGATACAATAGAAAAAGCCCCCAAATCAAAACTGACCCATGAAAGTGAGCAAGCTATAGCTCACAGCTGGAACTAGCCATAAAAAATTTAATGAAGTATTTTCTTACTTTCCTAGATATTTTATCCCTAAATGAATGCTCATCTTAAGAATATTCACCAATATTCAATGTTGGAAACATGAACGAATGAATAGTCTATAAATGAAAATATATACAAGACAAAATTTAATTTGACTCTCCCTTTTAAAAAAGCCTAGTTTTCAGATATTTGTCATTATCATCCCAGTCCTACTCATTTTTTCCAAAGGTTTAGAAGTACGGTGAAAATGATTCAATTTGCCTGGGGAGCCCAGAGTGAAATATATGTATGTTTTAAAAAAATATCCAAACCAGAGTGTCACCCAGGTATTCACAGACCATTTGGAGTAACTGTCACAATAAAAACTAGAGTGTCAAATACATACATTATGGCTTCCCCTAATCATAAAATTTTCCAACCTGAGGATTTCTTTTGACAATGGAAACAATTTCTGAGGTTTATCTACTGTTGGACCTTGATGATTTGTCACAAATTTTGTGATAGCACAAAGAATTGATATATCAAACCACTTATAGGTTGGTAATCCTTGAAGCCTAAATTTAACTCTACTCTACAAAAGTGAAATTTTGGTAACTGTGGTACAATCGGGTTTACCTACAGTGACACTTGGGCCTTTTTTTGTTCCTGTCTGTAGGAATTTAGAGAGCTCCCACACTTCATTAAAGATGTCTCTGACAAAACTCTACCTTTAACATGATTTTTGAGGCTTCCCTCATTTTCCAGAAGAGAAAGTATAACAATTTATAATGTATTGCAATTTCTTTTTCCAGAAATTAAGAGGTAGAATAGACAATATGTGGAACAAGACTAAATTTCCCAAATATAACTTGCTTAAAAATGGTAATAGCATATATTTAAGATATTATGCTCAATATGACTTGACAGATAATTCTTTAAATACACAGCTAATACAGGCATTCTTCCCTAATGTTTTTGTTAACTAAGAAATACAGTACTCTTATAACACAAAAAGAAAATAAATTATCATTAACTCTGGATTTAATTTCAGTGTTGGTACATTTTAACATTTCAATGTTAACCTCTCTATTCTTCATAAATGTGTCAAGGCAGAAAATAAAATGGTTAAATATAATATTTTTCCTAAATATTTTTCACCTTACATTTTGAAAAAAATGACTTTAGTGGTTTCCATCATAATTTGTAAATCCTCAAACTAACTTTAGCTAGCATTCTGTTTACTATTGCATCAGGAAATGGACTGGATTAAATGACAGATAAAACTAGGCCATTTCATATACTGTATATAATTCCCAACTAGCTTGATTTAATTATTTTACATTGTAGTCATAAATCACGACATCAATTTTTACCCTATAAATTTATGCAATTATATATTGTCAATTCACAATAAAAATTAACTTATAACATAAGTTAGTTTCTTCTTGGGAGTAAAACATCTTGGGAATTAATGCAAGGAAGTCATGGCTTTATGCTTTCAACAAGCTGTACACCAAATAGGGAAGACAAATAAAATCAAGAAAAAAATCAGGTGAAGAACTTTTCTAGGCAAAGCACTGTTACATAAGTATTAAACATTAGTCTCATTACCAACAATGCTAGTTATATATAAATAAAATATGTATTAAGATTATTTCATCTTTAAAATATGTGTCATAGAACTCAAAAATTCGAAATCTTCAAAGCATATAAGAAAAATAAAGGAAAGAGTAAAGTAAAAATATATACCAGCATTTTAGTATACTCTGACAGCTAATAAGTTTTATTTACCTAGGAAAGCCTTAAAACAGTTGCAATAGTGTACAGAATCTAACCTCTGGATTCTCTGCATTTTAAATTTAAACTTCATGTTACTGAAATACAACATTACATTGGATTCAGTCAGACCTCTTATCATTGCAGCCTAGTCACAGAATTTATAAGTAAAGATAACCAACCCAGTAAACCAAATTGAACAGGGCAAAAGCAGTTGGGAAAAATATTCGCGAATAGGAGTCAATTTTGGCAATGCGTATGTGAATCCTTCCTTCCCTCCAGGATCCCGTTCTGCAGTCTTCAAAGCAGCAGAAGAAGCTGGCGCAATCTTTGCCCTCCAAACACTGGTACCCATAGTCATCTTCTGCTTGAGGCAGAGAAATGGTGTTCATAGGAATTAGAGTGGATCCAGCATGGACACCAGGGGATGCCTGGGAGGGAATAAATGAGTTTTTGAGACAAAGAAGTTGCACAAAGAAAGATCAGTTTCTCCCCTCAAGGCAAACTCTAGGAGACCAATATGTAATGAAACTAAACTTGATTTCAAAATATCAAGCATTTTTCAATTTTAATGTACTTTTGATTTTGTGCGTAATTTATTTTGTAGCACATAACTTTCCTTTTATTCCAAGATTAGGTAAAAGAGAAATGTCTCTGAAATAAAACACATTTTATACCTGTAGAAAGTTGTTCCACGAAAATTATGTCATCCATGAATTTAAGTCTAAGATGAAAATGAACTCTACTATTTTATGATAACTGTACAGTAAAAAAATTTATAACACTATAAATATGTTATTGTATGTCTTTTTTTTAAGTGAGAGTACATAACAAGGTACATACATTTTGGTAGTGGGAAATGATTGAGAAGTTGTGATTGACAGAAAACAATGTGAGATTTGTAATAGTATATAAGTGTAAAACCCTGTATTTGGGAGGCAGGATGTGCAGAAGTTAAAAATTTGCCTTGGGGAATGATTGGTGTTGAAAATTTGGATCATTCTAATAGTGTAACTATCCTCATACCTGGCATTAACATGTGATTTTGTGACAGTTGTGGTGAGTAAATTTCTGTACTTATGTAGAAAGATTTCTGTTCCATCATGGCTATTTGGGACACATTAAATTAGCTCTTTATGATAGAAGGTTCTGAATACTGAAATGATAAAAAATAGTTTTTGGAAGTATCATTAATCAGGCAAAGCCAGAATACTACAGAAGATTAAAGCAAGCACTTTAGAGTCAGAAAAGCTTGGGCTAAGCATCTAAGCCTGCTGAATAGAGGTATGTAAACTTGAATAGGAAATGTGACTGTTCTTTTGCCTCTGAGACTACTGTTGTGTGTAAGTTACAATAACAATACTGTAGACAGGCTGGATGATTAAATGGGTGGATGTAGCAAGTATTCAGATGTCAGTAAATAATGCTTATTGTTGCTGTTACTATCAACTGTTACTGCCAATCCCTGACAAAGATGTCACAGTCAATTATGAAATGCATGAAAAACCACACAATAATAATAGTAATAATAATAACAACAACAGCAAAAACCTGGGCCTAATAAAATATATATAACTGGAAAAAGTTATATGAATTCTTGAATAAAATGGCAAGTAGAATATGCATCAAGACAGCAGTTTTAGTAATTCCTTAGAGTTTAGAATTTTTGCATATTTCAAGGGGTATCTAAGCTAGGAACCTCACAACTTATTTTGTCAGATTTATACTCTAAACACAAAATACAATGCCAAAATTATAAAAATTGTTTTAACTTAATCTTAATTCTGATGTAAATGCTTATTTTTTTCATTCTAAAATTTGAAAAAATATCTTGCAGCGATGTAAATTCAATAATTTTTGGAAATGATTGCCTAAGTTAAACAAAAAAATGAGAATTTCTTAAAGCTCAGACCTCTATTCAAACTCATTCTAAACCACAACAAGAAAAAATAATCCTGTAAATACTAAAATTTAGTTGATGTGAAAATAAGCAAATAGTCAAATATAGTGATAAAACATCATTCAAGTGAAAATGTACATATTTTAAACAAAATGTATAGCTTAGAGCTAAGGATTAATGCTCTAAACACAAATAATTCATTACTGCACTTGCCTAGATAATTATGAAAAGCAGAGGCAGTATATTATCAAATGTTAAAGACTGGATTTTTAATGATGATGCTTCAGGATACCAGAGTAGACTCCTAATTTTAGTGGATAAAAAAATTATGCATAAACATGGTATGAATTAATAGACTTGAATGGCATATTTCCATATGCTAATAAGAATGGAAAATTATTAAAATATAAATTGGTTAGCTAGCAACTTATATAGCAGAAAACATACATTTCCTCTGTCACTCAGTTCTTCCAGTATTGGAAATATGTTTGTTAGAAGATATCAATGGTGCATGAGGGGGAAAATTAAACATTAAAATTCCCAGAAATGGAGAAAAATGCAAGTCATTAACTTAAAAAATGGACTAATTTCCAGTGGTCAAAATCATGGAGATTCTGTTGCAATAACACATTGATAATTTTTCAGTTTCTTGCTGCCCTTTCCTTCCTCAAAAAAATCAAAATTCATAAAGTGAAAGAAAGTACCGTTCAATTAATGACAAAAGTGAAAACAAACACACTTTATACATGCTGAGAAAAATAGCCAAAAATCTGATACAATATCGATAAAATAAAATGCTGTTGACACACAAACTTCTAACCTGGAAACCAATGATTAAGGGGAAGAATATAATTATTCTGCACCACTTTTACTGGAAGTGCAACTACACCAACCTGGCTGCCCTCCAAAACAACAAATATTGAAAAAATAAATAAGTTAAAATAATACAGAAAACCAACACAAATGTATTGGCTTACTCTACTGATACAATTTACTGAGTATACTAATTTTTATTATATCAAAAATCACTAAGAATATAGCTAAACTTAAAATTTTAACAATCAATCCCATTCTTGCTATTAAATATAAATGTTTAATTGCATATTAAATATGACATTAATTATAAACTAGTACTATATTACTTATATATTAATACTATAACTAAATACATAAAATATATTCTAAGCACAGACATACTAACATCAAATGAATTGGTATTTAAAAATAAATTTTATTTATATAGGTATGAATTTATATAATTCCTAGTTGTAAAATGTTATTACTGCTATCAAATGTTAAAAATATGAATAGAAAACATTAGGTCATCTTATTAGTATTATGAAGCACTGACTAATATTACTATTATTAATTACTTATTCAAACATTACAGTGATAATGCCAACCTAAGTACTGGCTCTTTCCACCACTTTTTTATGAAATTTTAAGTATCAATCAAGCCATTGAGAAATCACAAAATATATTTTAGTATTAAAAACAGACAGGAGATGGTTTTGGTAATGAAGAATTGTGAATATGTGTGTTACACTTGTATTGAGTTTGTTAAAATCATAGAGCAGATGAAAATAGGTCAATGGAAAAATAAATCCAAAGAAATTTTTCTTGAACCATGAGGGCAAAGGCTATTCTTCCCTTTCAAATTCCAGAGATGATCAGTCTGAAGTAGGAAGAATGGGAATGTTAAGTAGAACAGAGAATGTGGTTTTAGTTAAATGGCCATTTCCAGATCATCTAGAAATAAAACAAAAGACTATTAAGTAATGAGGTAAAAAAAAAAAAAAGCAAAATATACTGATCCTTAAGAAATATTTTACATTTGAGAAGCACAATGAAAAGCTCCAGGTAAGAGAAGAAAAAGTTTACTTATGTATAATAATAATCATATTGGTATTAGAATTAGTCACAATAGTGAAATTAGAGTTTAAAATTAATTTTTAATTAGCCAATATAATTATTAATAATAAGATAAATTATTGAAGGATTAAAAAAGAGAAAATAAAGAACAATTTTTCTTTCAAACCAAAGAGTTAATTTTTCTTTTATCTTAATTATTATTTTCTTTTATCTTATCTTTGATAACTTGAAATTTGGCACACCAAGAATTAAAAATATCATGACAACAATCCAAGAAAAGTAAAACCAGAAATGGTTAAACTATTGTGAATTCTTTAAACTGAGATAAAGTGTGCTAAATGCAGATAGTCATTTTTCACTTGTACATTATTTTCCTTTTTGCTCATTTGTTTTGATCATGCACACACTATTATCAGTTTAAATTTAGTTTATTTTTAATGAGGATTTTACTTAATGATTAATCTGATTTCTTTCAGCTATGGTGCTTGCCATAGGAAGAGAAATGTGAAAGAATCTTGTTAAGAAGTCAAAATAGAAAAAAAGCTATTGGTGATATCTAGGCACCTCTAGAGAAGCATTGCTACAACTGACATTAAATGATGAAAACATCCCATAATCCGCAGGCTTTTTGCAATTACATAAGCTACCTTTTTTCACTTTATTTCACATTTCAACAATATCATAGAATCATTCTGAGGAGTTTCCCATATGGCATTTCATAATAAAAATCTTTATAATTATACAATTTTTGTTATTTTGATTCATACCCTGAAAGACAAATGGATGCTTTTTCATGAACTTTGCAAAAAAGAGGTTGTGAGGTAGGGTTTTGAGGGAGAGGAAAACCCTTTCACACATTTCCTTATTACTTAGGCTTTGACTCTATATTACTTCTTGAACCATTGCAATAGTATCCACATTTTTCTCCCTGCCTGTTTTGTCATTCCAGTACACACTGTTATTTCTTCTAATTATCTTTCAAGAACATAAATGCAAAGATATCATTCTGCTGAGAAATGCTGACAAGACAAAATATAAATTCTTAGAATGACACTGGTAATGGTATAACCTGGCTATAAACCATTTTCTATCCTGAACATGGGTTATTTTCTTCTCTAAGTTTCTCATTGTCTAAACAAGCACTGTCTAATGGAACTTTCTATGTGATGGAAATGTCCTATATCTGCACTGTCCAATACACAATCCATCAGCAACCTGTAACTATTGAACATTTAAAATGTACTTAGTTCTATTAAGATACTGGATTTTAAATTCTGTTTTGCCTATATAAGTTTAAATCAACCTGACCAGTGGCAGGACATCACACCCTGGGACATAAATGCTGCTCTCCATTTTATTCTCATCTGTAAGCCTCAACTCAGCTTACTTGCTTTTTCTGCCTTAAATGGTCTTTTTAATTTGTTCCTCGGAAAATTGAAACTTGTTCTTCAAAGAACTACTTCAACAAATGTTACACTTTCTCTGATTTTTTTTTGTGCCAAACTTCCTTTGGAAGAATTAGTTTGCATGCTTTATGAATGAATTATTTGCACTTCAAATGAAAAGAATCTTTTCACTCTGTTGTAACCCACATTGACCAAAGCCTCTTTTCAACACGATGTGCCTGTTAAATTAATGTTTCACAGACTACATTTCATGGTGCTTCAAGCCTGTCATGGGTGCTAGGCTGGGTCAGGCTTTGTGGTAACCGTCTATTTCAAGAAGAAGCTTATGTGGCAATAAGAAATATGTTCTTTTCTCTTAAAAACATATCTTAATTGTATTCACTGTAGAAAATAATTTTACCTCTGAAAACGAGTGAAAAACCACCCATGTAAATGTTAATTTCCTCACAGCCTCTTTGATTAATTTTGATTTTTATATTAAACTATTATATTGTACTTTATTACCTTATGTTTGCATTTCTAATCTTTTTCCCCATAACTAAAATTACAGATCTCTGAAAGCAAAGGACACATTCAATTTCTCTTTGCCTCCAAATTACCTTATTCATGGTTGGTGAAATAATTTTCTATTATTTTATGTTTTTACCAGATTGAAAGCTTAAAACTAAGAAAGTTCTCTTTTCAGATAAGTACACCTGATCTATGCATCATATAGTTTTCTGAGATTTCTGATAGCCTGTGAGCTAATATTCAAGTTTCATATGAAAAGCTAGTATTTGCTAACATTTGGATAACTACTATTACATTTCTATAACTGCTACCTCTTCCATAAAGAGTCTTGATTCCACTGTCCAACTTACTTAGCCTAACTTCTCACATGTTCTTAGAAGTAAATGTTGACCCATGCATACCTAAATCATGTTCTTAATGAATAGTAAGAAAGAAATGCATATTGAATGAAAATATGGAGCAAGTCAAATGTCATTGAATTCACAATAAAAAAGAAAGAAGAAAGATGGAAATAAGGGAAGATGAGAAGGAAGGAAGGAAGAAGGAAAAAAAGGAGGAATGGTGGAGGGAAGGAGGGAGGGGGAAAGACAAATATTTGATGTGGATAATAAGGTAGAGACCATCTTTATTAATTTATGGTTTTATTAAAGAATTCATTGAAGCTAAAAATCTGTTGTGTTCAAATATCAGTTGTACCTAAAGGAAATAAATCAGGACATTCTTAGATTCTTAATTAAACAGAACAGATGGAAAGAAGGGATTTTAGTTTTGCTTTATATCAGACATGTTGAACCTTCAGTGAATCCAACCAAGGTCATTGATCTTGACCTGACCATTGCCATAAATAATTGAAAGTAAAAATGAGAAAATGCTGGATTTCAAACTATTCAGAATTTTGAGACTTGTTGAAATTAGGGAGATGGAAGGAAGGAGAAAGAAATAGAGAAAGGGGAGGAGACTAAATCACAAACAACTAAAACACGTTAAGGATAAGATGTTGCAGTATCTCTGAGTCTAGATTGCCCATGATTTTCCTGGATGGAAGAGAAAAAAATTGTGGATTCCATAGGCTGTAAGTGGAAGACATGAGGCAACACAAATACATCTGTCTGTTCCTCAGAAAATCACATTCTTATTTACTCCCTAAGCAAGACCATGCAGCTGAAAACTGATCCAATGTTTTCAAGCACCATTAGATACTGAAAGAGCTCATAAAGCACATAACTGATCCAAAATAAAAACCTAAAGCATTTTGCTTTAAATGCTTATGAAAATATTTTTGGCAACTAAGTAGTCAGTAACAATATCAGTTGAACTATTGCTAGCACCATGTAGTGTTTCAAAACCATCATTTAATTTTTACTCATTATTTTAGGATTTTGTATCCTGGTATTTATGCTAATTTATTGTTATTATAATTAATGACTATTTTTTGAACTTACTGAGGATTGAACTCAGGGTCTTGTACTTGCTAGGCAAATACTCTATACCACATGAGTCTGTACCCAGTCCTTTACTTTTTAGCTTGTTTTGTAGATGGCATCACGCTTTGGCTGGCTCATCCTTGGATCACAATCCTCCTAACTCTGCTCCCAAGTAGCTGGGGTTACAGAGAGCATTATAACACTTTGCTTGTTTTTTTTGAGGTAGAGTCTCATTAATTTTTGCTGGGCTGTCCTCCAACCACAAATCTCCTTTCTCTGCCTCCTCAGTAGCCGTATTCAAAATTTTAAAGAATAAACATATAGCCTATTAAATAACTGTTCTGGAATTGTGCTTAGAATATGGAAGTCCAGTGTGCAGGTTGTGATTGATAGCATCATAATTTTGAAGTTTGCTTTCCCATATTTCAGCTCTCCTGAGTAAATGAGCCATGCAGAGCTGTGGTCATAACAATAGTACATATATTATATATATATTTAGAATGACATTATAAAATCCACGTGACATGGTACATTGCCTGGCTTTTAATGTTACCTATGTTTGTACTAAACACTTCCAATAATAGTTTCTGAAAGTGAAAATTAGAAACAGTTATGGATGAGCAAATGGTGAAATGAAATTTACAGTGATTGCCTTGCTTTTATTACAGGAAAATGGTAGAAAAATCTTCATTTTCCTTCATCTAAAAATTTAGCAATAATATTAAATCTGACATTATTTTCTTCTGATTACTTGTCCATTGAAAGGACCACACTTTATCCTCTGGATAAGCTAAAATAAAGTCAAGTTGAAAGAGTCACAGGCTGATTGACTATATAATGCAAATTCTCAAATTTTGTACTGCCAATGATGTACTCTCCTTTCTTGAAATATTGTGGGAATCAAAGCAAAGCATACTGGGCTTTGCTCCGTGAAAAATAAGATGAAAAGTAACATAATCAAAAAGTGCTGGCAAGTTTTATAAAGAAACTAATGGTAAAAACAGGGAGGGGGGGAAAAACATTGAATCCTAAAACTTACAAAGTTTTTGGGATGGAAACCTCCATACCTCATTGTACTTGTTAGCATTTTAAGCTTGACACTCATGGATAACAGTTCTTTATAGGCTTCAATTATTTATTTTGAAACACATCTGCTTTGAGAGTATTTATCAGAATCAACAGAGAAGTGTCTTTTTGTTAAACTAAAAGTTTAATTTTCTGAGTATGAGAATAAACAAATAAAAAAGGTTAAAAATATTGAACTCTGCTACCAAAAAAAAACCCCTGGATTTGAGTCTTAGATACTATATGAGGTAAACTGTCCTTTTGCAAATCACTGAACTCATGTTTATAGATTTGTTCAGAGCATAAATGAAATCATGCATGTAAAATGCTTGCAGTAGTTCCTGGAAAATTCAAATATTAGATATTATGATTGGGTTGATATAAGAGAAAGAAATTACTGTCAATCATCCAGTACCTTAGTAGATCAGAGTGATTAAAATCAATTTTAATATATGAATTGATCAATATAAAATTTCCCAATACTATGTTATTGGGGAGGGGTAGTAAAGGAGTATAACTATGCAAAAAACAAAACAAAAAGATCTCTTTTATTACTATGACTTTCTAATCTAACACCGGTGAATTTTAACATTAAAGAGAGATCTTAATCTCTAAAAGTAAATTAATTTTGTGGATGACTTGTTAAAAATCCAAATTCTAATTTAAAACAGAATTGAAAGAGAAATCTGAACTGTTTATGTACAAAAGCTGCACCACTTGTGGAAAAATTTGTATCACTGTTTGATCCCATCAGGGACATTGGGGAAATATAAATAAATATGCTGGTCTTGGTGAACAGAGCTAAGTGCTCCGATTTCACCTTGATTTTACTTTCAAGTAAATATAATTCAAATACTCAAAACAGTATCTCTAAGTAAGCTGGACTTTATGAAACAGACATGTTTCTCAACATACCGAAGCCTTGTTTTTTAGTTTCCTATCTCTAGCGGTCTTTCCTTTTTTGTTGCTGGTAAAATAATGCAACGTTCCATATTCCATTAAGGCTGCAAAAACAAAAATGAAGCAAACAGAAACGAAGAGATCCATCGCTGTCACATAAGAAACTTTAGGTAAAGATTTCCTGGCAATTGTACTCAGGGTTGTCATAGTCAAAACTGTGGTAATACCTGTGGAGAGAGGAAAAACACAAAAGATTAAAATAATTTCACAGACTACTTTTATTCTTCCATCTGCTTTGGCAATATTGTAAGCTAAAATAAGCAATGAAAACAAAAGGATATGATTACACAAAGAATTACTGGTAACCATAGCTACATACATTCAGTGTGCTCTTTGTGTCTGTGTGAATTGTAGTCATTTGTCTCCTATTACCCATGCTTCCTTCTCCCATGATAATACAATCTCCATTTTTAAAGCTGGTGTGTGGGTGCCTAGAAGAGTAACTTGAAGAGTAACTTTATTTGCCACTTTCTGTACAGCAAGTGTGACACAGCATAGCAGCAAGGAGACTAGGTCAGGAATCAAAGTAATGTTTAAAAGAAGGCATTGAAGAGATGGGGACTGCCCTGCTTTCTTTCCTAAGTGTTCTGCTGGAGAACAATGGCCACAGTGTCAGACACCTCCTTACACTATTAGATTAGACCTGGGATTCCACAACACAGCAGAAAGCTAGACCCAGACACAGCCTGTGTCCCTGAAATGCACATGAGAAGCAAATACCCATCTCCACTTCATTGAAGCAATAATGATTTGAGATTTTCTAACCTATCCCAGTTAAAATTCATCCAAATTATATACTGTTTTCTTACGTGATAACTTGTATTAAGCTTATTTTATAAATCTAACTTTAAGCAAAGAATAGAAGTATAATTATAATCAGGGAATACTTCAGAAGTAGTAAGTAAATATTAGTATTTTTAAGAATTCAGCATATATAATTAGGATCACCCCCAGGACCCATGCCTGGCTGTGCACCTTTGGAAGTATCTATCTGTCTCTCTTTACCAATTGGCCTTCTTAAAACTATTTGTCTTTGACCACCAAAATCACATATGCACTTCTATGCTTCTTTGCGAGGGGGGTAGGGGGGGAAAATGACCCAAACAATGTATGCATATTTGAATATATGAATAGAAAAAAGTACCAAAAAATCACCATATTTCTCATTCTTCATACCACCAAATATAGCTCCAGGAATGGAATTGCTTACTCTCTTAAAAGTACTAATTATAATGATAAATGCTTCTTAATTGGCCAATATTTTGAAAAAGTTGGCAAGATTTTTAATAAAAGAAAAGTTAGAACTGCTGAAACAGTAGCTTCTTTGGTACCATGAAATCAACAACCACTGCTGCCTCTCTTGTCTCCATGGGAACATGTCTACCCAACACCTCCTCTCATATGCTCATCTTTTCATTTGAATTGGTTCTTAAGACTGAAAAGAAAAGACACAGGTGTGGATATCATAAAGGCAAATATATGTTCAATCTCTAGCTTCCCCATATATTTGCTTTGAAAACCTAAGGAATTGTGACAGGGCTTTGCACTTGCTAGGCAGGTTCTCTACCAGTTGATGCACACATCCGGTCCTTTCAGTTCTGGTTATTTTTAAGATCTGGCAAGCCTGATTACAATCCTTCTATTTTAAGATTCCTACCATGGCTGGGATGACAGATGTGCACAACCCCACCTAGATTTTGGTTGACATGGTATTTAATGAAGTTTGCCTAGACTGGCCTTGAACCACAATCCTGATCTCAGCTTCCCAAAGTAGCTAGGATGACAAGTTTGAGCCACTGTCCACGCTAAAGGAAATTTCCTAACTTCTCTGTATTGCTCAAATAAAAATCTGACAGTAATATCTTGCTGGTATCCACAACAAATATATACAAAACTATTTAATTTACTCATTTTTTAATGTAGATAGATTACTGATTTTAAGATTTTATTTCTTCATAACATTAGTATTTTAAAGCTGAAATTTACCCCTTTATATAGTGTCTTAGCTGAATTGCACAAATATTTATATGTTAAATTCGTTTGGTTTGAGATATTTTCTAATTTCCCTTTTTTTCTTATTGGACCCAAGGTTTATCTAAAATATCATTAAATAATCCAAGTATGTGAGGCCAGTATTCAGTATATAATTTTTGATAATTTTTTATTACTTTCATTTTTGTTGGAAAATATACTCTGGAAAATTTTAGTCTTTTGAATTTTATTGAAATATTGACTAATGTTCTGTGTGCACTTGAAAATTTCTTGTGTTCTGAAGTTTAGCATAGTGTTCTACAGGTATAATGTTCTATACTAAACCATTCAAGTGGTTGATAATTTCATTCAAATTTTCTATATCTAAACTGATTTTTACTTTAGCAGTAAATGAGAAAGGGATATTTCAGTGTCTAAAAATGATCTCAGATTTGCTTATTTTTCTGTATTTCCAAATAGTATTTGCTTCATGTTTTTAAAACCAAAACTATATTTTAAAGGTCATGTACATGGTAAATGTTAAATAATTTCAATGAACACATCTTTTTCTTTCAAGTTTCATTCTGAAAGACTGTTTATTAAACAAATGTATAGCAATTAATCACTTGTGTTCTTATATGATTTTACAACCTTAGTAGATGGTTACCACAACAGAACAAATATCACTTTAATTCTAAACTCCCCTTTTAATCAATGTTATTGTACAGACAACTCTCAAATATCCACAGATCAAGTACACATTTTACACAGTATAGAAACTAAAGAGTTTCTTGTTCCTTTCATCAAACTACCCTTTCAAAGAGTTGGCTGTTGGCCTGGACTCCTGGCTCAAGTGATAAAGGTACTGCCTAGTAAGCATGGGGTGCTGAGTTCAAACCCCAATACCATCAAAAAGACAAGCTATTACCTTCAACATTATAAGAGCAAGGGATTACAAAGCCATCCAAATATGCACCAAAAAATGGTGATTACTGGAGATTCTGTTAAATCATAAAATAAAATCTTTATGAAAGGGAAATTCCAAAATTATATATACTACTTTTGTATTAATTATTCTTTTGTATCTATGCTTCCTGTGATCTCTGTTAACAGGAAAATTTCTGCTAACAGGAAATTTCTGAAATTTCAAGTTCCTTCCAATTTTATTTTCTTTTTTGTTTTGCTTGTTTTTTGTTTTTTTTTAAATTTTTTATACAGGTACTCACTCAAACTTGCAGTCTTCCAGCCTCAGCCTCCCATGTACTGAGATTGGAGGCATGTGCACCACATCCAGCTTCTACTTGATTTTAATATATTCCTTTCCATGTGGTATTGCACTAGAGTTTCTGTACATTTTTTTCCTGACAATACTCTAAAGGAATATTTCTAATAGATGCATCTATAGGCTTCCATTATGTTAAAATGCTTTTAACAATCCTGTGATATTATTGTATAATGTTACATATCATACCCAGTGATGTTCTTGCAGGTACTGCATCTTTATTGATCCAAAAAGACACCCAAGAAAGAACAACCGTTAGAATACATGGAATGTAGGTTTGAATGGTGAAGTATCCCATTCGTCTACTCAGATCAAAAAAAATCGTCATGATAATATAATCCCCTGGAAGAAAAAAAATTTTATTTTAGCTAGAAAATACATGAAAGTATACATTATAGCCCATACATTTGAACACCAGTGCTACTCATTCATTCACTGATTGGTGTTTTACACTTACCAGAGATGGTGTGAGAGATTTCAGTTGAGTTCCGTAATCCTACAAAGGCAAACTGATATAATCTCCAGTATTTAGGATCAGCTACTTCTACAGAGGGCTTTTTCCACTTATACTCAATTTCATTTTTAGGGTATCCATCTAGAGGAAAAATAAAAATGTATAGATTAGCAAAATCTAAAATATTTACCATTGCAAAACCAACAGTGTCCAAACACTAACCCTAAAAAGATCTTCTCTCATTTGTTATTGTAAGATATTCCAAATACTGATAATAGTAGCTAACATATATGTATAATTTAAATAATATTCATATAACAGTTATTTCTCCCTTATATGATAGTTTTAAAGATAACTTTTCATTTAGCCCGTAGTGTTTTGGGGGCTAGGACACTTCTTTATGAGGTCCTATGCCTCTTATATCTCAGCTTATGGAGTGATTTTGTATAAATGTGTGTGTATACATGCATACATATGCATAATTTTTGTATACATAGCCCTATTCAGTCTGTTCTCAAACTTACTATGTATCCCATTGTGGCCTGGAAGTTATAATCCTCCACAGCCTTTGAGTGCTGGGTAACAGGCATGCATTACCACATCCTGACAGAATTTTCGTTATACTTCCACCCCAGAAGACTGTCAAAACCAAAGCAGGTATTTCCCATGTTTGGAAAATGTCCTAGGTTATATTGGCTGCAAACCTCTTTTTTTGTTTTTAACTTTTTATGCGAATTTTTGCGGCTGAAAATTTCTTCCTGTCAGTGCTCATATATTTTTGGAAAAATTCTGATACTAGGAAGTTCTTAATTATTTCAAGAAAATAACTGAATTCATTAATTCAATTTAAATATTTCCAAAAGAATATATCATTTTTGAAGGCTCTACTATCAGCAATGTGATAAAAAGAATTGTCCTATTTGCTGATAGACAATAGTTTCTATTTTCCTCATCTTCTTTATAACATAGCAGGGCTCCAGTTATGTTATTTTTCCATACTTCCTATTCATTATAAATACAGAGGCAACATAGTATAGTTATAACATAAAGCAATATGGGAAAAATAAAAAGATTGGCCAGATATATAGTCATACTAAGTTTCAAGACAATGACAAAATTGGTGCTATAAAAGAATTGTCTGCACAACTGTGCTGTGGAATATTTGAGGTAGAAGCTTATTTGTCTACTGAACCTGTACAGAATTCCTGAGAAAAGTAACTAATAGAATTATACTTATACCATTCATACTCAGCCACATTTGCAAGGATGAATTGTTTGCAATAATGGCCATCAAAGCCAAAGCAATATCACACCAAGATTTAAGAATGACATGAAAAAGGCAGTGCGATGCACCGCTACATCATCAAATATTTGCATATCAAATATTCTTGATGTTCTTTGTTTTGATTTGGCCCTTTTTTTGGTGATAACATAACTTTTGAAATTTAAAGAAGTGACATGAGTTCGTAAATATAAAAGTATGTTTGCAATGGGACAAAATTCATTAAGATAATCCAAGAAAAATAATCAATAAAAGGCAACAAGAAACATTTTGTAATTTAGCAAGCAATAAGCAGGGGTAACATGAATGGTTAGATTACCTTTTACTAAGAAATAGTCCACAACTATGATCGTTTAAAAAAATCAAATTTACAAAGAAGGATAGTAGCACTAGAAAATTTGTGGATGTAAACAACAACATCTTGTTATTCATTTAACATGTTTGTAAGACTTGCTTAAATATGATCTAGAAAGATGTTTTTTAAAAAATATATGTGAAGGGCTGGGAATTTGGCTTAAGGGATAGAGAACACTTGCATAGCAAATGCAAGTCCCTGAGTGCAAACACCAGTGCATGAAAAGAAACAAATAAATTGGTTAAAGTAAAAAACATATATGAGCATAAATGTGTTAATAAATGTGACTTAGAATAATAGGTATATTTTAACATTTTTCTTAAAGGAAAAATGAGATTTTTATATTCAAATTGTTTATCTCTAATGGATAATTTTTCTCCTAATTAAATAAGCTTATTTATACTTTGGCTGTTTCAACACATTAAACTATTGTCAAATATTTGCTACATATGTAGTAAATACTCTTCACGAAACCAGTTTTTTGAGAACTTTTTAAAATTTCCATAAAATAAAGTTAAATGTTGTCTCAAGGAAGATGAATATAATTTGAATCAACTTGATTCCTGCCTATGTGAAAACACTTGAATACAAGTCTATTTTCAGCACTTCTCTATTTATTCAAAATAATGAAAAGACATTTGAACAAAACTAAAAGTTGTGATGATAACTTAATAAAATATATGCATTTTCTACACATTTAGTGTTGCTTTTTATTTAAAAGCAAAAAACACATTATTTGTACTCATATAAAGAGACAAATAAAATCCACACTTCTGAAAATTATGCTTCATCTCATTTCATTTTACATTTTTAAAGAAATAGGGTAAGAGCTAAAATTCTACAAAATTATCACTTACAGCTTGAAAATTCCAGTGGACAAGAATGTTCATCCATAGGAAAGTTATGAAGCTGAAGGTAACATTCAGCATTTATCGTCAGTCTATTTAGGTAGAAAAATAAGTATTAAATAATGATAAATAGCTTCAATCATTAAAAAACTCTTGCCAAATGTTAAAACATGATTTGGCCTATAATAATGGAGTATTATATACTGGAATATAGCATCTCCAAAGTTTCAAAGTCTTAAATGGGAATATTATGACTTTCACAAGTGAATATGAAATTGTAACATTTTCTTCTCCAGCAAACTAAGTCACCCCTGTGTATGTTTCAATGCTATCTATGTAGTTACATTTAGATCATATTTCATCCCACAAAGATACACATACATATACAGGTGCATATTTTACAGATTAACACATTGTACATGGAGACATGGTATTTTTTACTCTGAATTTATCCTGATTATCTTCCCATTAAGAATGATTTTTAATAAACAGATATCACCAATGAAATGAATTAAATAAATTAGAATCTTGCACATTAACTTATATATCAGTGCTTCCTTAGGGATGTTTTATAACACTGTTGAAAATCAGAATATTATAAAATCCTATAGCAGGATTGTCTTATAGAGAAAAACCTCAGTAATTTGCATTGTTTGCTAAAAAAATCATAAAGTTCATGCCACAACTTAATCAACTTCCCAGAAGAAAAATTAGAGTTCTTTTTCTATTTGCTTCTAAATCACTTCACATAATAGCAACTCTGATCTTAAGACAGTGTTGCTAAAGATCTCACCATTATAAATTTTAGTTATGAAGCAAGCTTCCTTTTCTGCTGTGCAAGTGTGAAGATGAAAGATTAGGAGCTAATCAACTATTAATATTGAAAATAAATTAGAGAAGCTGCAAAATGTTATACCTTAGGGTATACAGAACTCGTCCGTCATTCCAAATTCGTAGCAGACGGTTGGGAGTTGTTATCCAGTGGGCATCAGATTTTCTTGAGTTTCTGAAGAAAGTGTCAGGAATCCAAATTTTTCCAACCATATTACTGTTAAGCATAAGCACTTTCATGGTGCTATTGAACTTTAAACGACTGTCAAACCAGGTTTGGGCAAAAATTATATCTATTGTGTATTCCTAAAAGATAAAAAGAGTAAAAACACCATTTAAGATGTCTTCCTTGGAAGTTTGAATTTTTATATTATAAATTGCTTTCAAGAAACTAGCACTTAAACCCTTTTTTTGAAGAAAAATGCCATATCATTATCTTAACCTTTCTTTTTAATTTATATAAAAATTAAGTCATAATTTTTCAGTAATTTTTTTCATTAATTCCCAGTGGGGCTTTATTATCTTTCATTTTGTAAATTGTTTTTTAAGTTTTATAATATGTAGAATATAGCTATTAAAGATAATGCTATCATTATTATTTTTTATGATATTTGCATCATGCTGAAGTCACCAAAAATCACAAATAAGTATAAAATCAAGATATAAACATCCATCAAATTATCTAATTATAGTGTCCTTTAAGTGAAAATTTAATTCCAGTTGTTTAGATCCATTGATTTTAAATGTTTTGAAGTCACTGCAAAAAATCCTAATGGGCAATTATAATGTGTCAAACAGTATGTTAAGAGTTTTGCACGTTATCACGTCACTAAGTCTTTCCTATTATAGTCTTCACGTTCAGTAACACTTGTTGAGTAACAGAAAGGTAAACTAAATCTCTCCAAGTCATAAACTTAAACCTCAGATGAAATGAAATTGAGCCACTGCAAGGCTACATGACACGTGCACAGTCATAATAAATGTACGTTAATGGTGCTCGTTGTGAGGCCCAATGATTATAAGATTGGAGTAGTACTTTGATCATAGTAAGTAACTATAAAGAGAACATTGCATGATTATGAGAGAACATTCAGAGGCAGGTAACCAGATATTATCTACCTTCGCATCCTCACAGACTGTCTGCACTATTATAAACATGAGAATTTATTTTAAAATAGTAATGAATGATATGCAATAGTCAATACCAGGCAGAAAGGGAATTGGTTAAAATCTGTGTAGTGGGAGGGGGTAGGAGGTTGTGTGTATATAACTTTGACATTAATAGAAAAATACACATTGTAAAATATGAAGTACTATATGAGTTACTTGTGGTGAGAGATATTGGCCAGTTTAACTGAATAAAAATATTTAATATAAGAAATGGAGGCATAATTAAGAACTTGACTAATGAATGAAAAACTGACAAAAATAAGTAAACAATATTCAGTGTATTAATGGGGGAATTGGATCAAATCCTAGTTTGTGGACAGAATATTTATGATTTGTTTATTGGACTATAGAAAGAAATTGAGAGCAAAACCTCATTTTATCTTATTTTAAGCAAGTAATGTTACAATTTTAGAAAAGCACATATATTGTAGTTACTTAAAATTCAACATGTGCCCAAGTGGTAATTGAGTATAAGTGTGTGTTTTACAATAACAAGATATATATATATATATATGTATATATATTATATACATGTTATTATAGACAGTTTCTCCATGTAATGATGGAGTGTGTAATTATTCAATGACCTACTCAGGTATTTAGCATGACTTGTATGCCAGCTGTTTTTCTGCATGAATTTGAAGATATAAAGTCCTTGTGCACAAAAATACTGACATTGTGATCCTCTCTTCACAAAGTATTAGTTGTCATGCTCAAATAATTTAGAATTACATCAATTAAATTTTTTTTGCATTTTTGTGTAGAATCAAACTGTGCTGAAAGTACTTTTGTAACCATATAAGCCTTATCATCCCAGAGCCACAAACCTGCTGATGTACTGTTTGTAGCTAGAACTCAAAACCTGGAAACACATCACATAATATATGATAATGAAGCTATTTATGCTGTAGGTGCTTAGTCATCTTATTGAATAATACTAATGGAGTGATGCATAATATGGGCATATATTTCACAGGGAGAATGGATTCTTTTATTCACTATTACTGGTACAGTATTGCTCCTCCTTGAATGCTATGGGAAATTCCTGTACTAAAGTTACCTTTAGCCACACTTCTGGCCTCCTCCTCAAGACAGATGTTGGTATTTATTATTTATTTAGTTAGGATCAGTTATGATTTATCCAACTAGCCTCTTCACCTGACACAAAAGATTAACTGTTCAGAGCCCAACAGTGTAATTACACTAATGACATGATAATTGGTTTTAATAGTAAATATAAACAGAGAAAAGGCTCATGCTCATTTCTACAGCATATGCTGGAAAGAGTAATTAGTCAATGTTATCTGCAGAATTATGTTGTATTTTTGGATGGGCTCAAACAGCAGAATCTGCTTAAGATACTAGCCAGGATTAGAGCTTGGCAAACAGTCAACATTGACTAGTAGGGAAAACCCCATGCTCCTTGGCAAAGCTGAAATATTCTTAACCAACAGGGCATTAAAAGTGGTATTTGAAAACTATTTTTTGTGGTCAGAATTTTTTAAGCAGCTGCAGATAGTGTTTAGCAGCTGCCAGGATACCGCGCCCCCCACCAACACACACACTATGCTGGGGATCCAACCCCGTGCCCTGCGTGTGCAAATGAAGCATTCTACCACTTACCTATATCCCCAGCCCAGAATACTCATCAGTGTTGGAAAGGATATGATTTCTGAGGGATCAAAATTTTCTAAACAGAGACTATTGAAGAAAAGTGAAAAGTTTTCTACTTACAGTTGCTCCCTCAATGATAGATCAAAAAGAGAAAGATGCAGAGCACAGGTCTTGGTAATCCATCCTTCCCAAAGCTTTGCAGAGGCTAATGCTTCCAAGCCCTTTTTAAATTGCTATTCCTTAATAAATGTCTCACTGAGATAAGAAGGTTATTAAAATCTGTGCCATTTTAGGCATAATCAAAAAAATCCAATTTCATTTACTCATTTCTATTAGTGTAATTTCCAGAAAATGATCAAACTATGTTCTTGTACTTCATGTTCCTACTTAAAGGTTATAATCATCAGCATAATAAGTAAAGAAAACATGAGCCAGGTCTTCTACTTACTCAGAACAAGTATAATAGCTTCTAAGAGAAACATTTTGAGATAAAGAACAGTGAATTTAACCTGACCTCCAAGGGATTTTATAAGCTGTTCTGTATTTCCTTGCAAATTAGCCAACATCAATGAACGCATGTGAAAATGTGTGCCATCCTGAATTATTGCTTAATCGAATCAAACCCCAAGTGTTAAAAGTGTATAGTGTTGTCCTATTACTACATTGTGAGTTGAGCCACTATGCAGAACACCACACATTTTAAAGTATTAGCTAGCTCAATTTACAATTTTCATAGTAATGGAAGAAATTTTGCACAAAATGCAAGATCTACCTATTAGTATAGATATATGCAGTTTTATCGATTTCATTGATTCTGATCCCATCTTCTCATCTTAACAATATTCTCTCCCCGTGTCTCACATCTGTAATCCCAGCTATTGGAAGGCAGACATCAAGAAAATCACCAGCTCTGGGCAAAAAAGCAGAAAAATGACTAAAACAAAAAAAAAGAGCTGCATGCATGGCTCAAGTGGTGCAAAAAGTGTGAAGAAAAGGTCAAACCCCAATACTGTAAAAAAAAATGTTCTGAGTTTGTCACTGACTAGAGTGTGGTACTAAGTCACTTACAGGCAATCAATGCCAAAATATGCACCCTAGACAAGATCACCACTAAGATTCTAGGACTCTGTGGTCATCAGAACATCATACAATTTTGGAAAGTAACTTGTTAATATTTTTCTGTAAACAATGATAGACGTGAAGATGAATTTGGTATCTTCCAATGATATTTCTTCACAAAAATATTTTCCATCTGTATCTTTATTTTTTTAATCCCACTGAATATCTTCTGCATTTTTAGTTGAAAATTGCTTACACTAGGGACTGTCAAACCCAATAAAGAATTTCTAGATGAGCATTTTCAAAATTCTAATTTTGGAATGCTGCCCCAAATTACTAAATCTGAATCTACTGGAGTGATGTTTGAGACTTTCATTTTACTCTTAAAGGAAAATTGATTTTTTTCTTATATATAATTTGGGGTTTTGAAGGTGTGGAAAATGGCTTAAGATTCCATCCTTCCTTCCTCAAGAAATTCATATCTACTAGACTTCTGAAAAAATAAATAAGTAATTAAAAGATGAAGGAGAAAGAGAGAGGGGAGAGAGAAAGAGAAGAAAGATAGCTTCTCACTATACAAACTTATTGAACTCTAGTTGTAGGACTAATCTTAGGACATTTAAATACAGTTTAGAGTTAATATACATACATAGGAAAATTTGATACCTATTCTTCAAATTGAATCATATAGTCTACCATCTGTAAATAATGGCTCTTATATGTGAGAATGTGTGTGTACTTAAGTGTGTGCACTTAAGGGAATTTTAGTTTATAAATTCAACTAATATATGTTCTTGTGTGTAACTTTAGATTGTACACTTCTATGGTAAAAGATTAACTGCCTGAAGTTATCTTAGGCCATGCTAAAGTACCATTTCATATGCCAAGCTGCTTTTACTTAAATGTGCATTATTTTGCTATCATTATATAGTATTAGTGAAGTATTAACTTATGTTAATAAATAATACAATCAGAGGATCCCTAATAACTTTGAGTTTGGTATTAAAAACCCTTGGCAATTATTACATAGCTCAAGTAATTCAGTTTTAAGCAAAAGGGTAAATAATGAGGAATCATAGTTATTCAAATTAACTACAACACTTGACAAACAAAATAGTGACTTGGAGCAGTGATGTTGAAAAAAAGGCTAAACCCAGGTCCTAATTACAGGTATGAAAGTAATGAGAAGCAAATAGACCTTCCCTCTGCTAGAACTCTCCTTCTCAAAACTAGCCAGAGGCCTGAATTATCATGCTGTACAGGCCCAATCAGTATATACTAACAAATAAAGATTCAAAATTGTAATGAACTTGGTATTCTACCTTTAAAAGTATTATTAGATTAAAAATAGACATTTGCCAAACTAAAGATCTATTATAGGATTAAGGTGTGTAGACTAGGAAGAATTAGTATTCTTTAATTTAATGGCACCCTGATTCTTAATGGTAACAAATGAAAACATT